TAACTTATATGCCACCCACTCTACCCAAAGGTCTAAGGGTGGCTTACAACAATTAAAATACAATAAAAAAAGATACAAATTAAAATACTATCAAAATATATACTCTAAAAATTGCCATCAGGACCCACAGTTGATATTACTTCATTTAAAAGTCTTCTGGGACACAAAGGTTTTGACTTGGCACTGAAATCTCATCAGCATCAGTGCCAGAGAAATCTCAGTTGGGAGGGCATTCCATAGCCTGGGGGCAGCTGCCAAAAAGAACCTTTGTCTACAAGCCATCCGTCTTACCTCCTTGAGGGATGGCTCTTTCAAAAGAGCCCCCTGGCTCGATCTTAACTGCCAGGTAGGTTCATACTTTCCTCAATTTACAGGAGTTTCCTTTTCTGAAGTCATACATAACTGTGCTAGGGCTCCTGACAGTTTCTTATTTACATATAAATTACATTTGCTAGCATTGTAATAACTGTTTCCCTCAAACCATGACTTCATACCACCATCCTGTACCAAAGCCAAAAACCAATCTTTCCCAGGTCTGCTTCCCCAGTTCACACAAAGCCCAGAATCATAGTTAATAGGTTTCCTCACCTGATGGGGTGGGGTGGTGGTAGTGGAAGAAACAATGGAAAAACAAGGAAGAGTACCAAGTGGAGGATGATGTCTTCTGAAGCCTCCAAAAAATTCAGGGAATAATATAGGATGATAGTGTGGTAAGAATCTTGCCTGAAACTGCTCTTAATCTTGTGCCTATCCAAAGTATTATTCCATTTTATCACCAGTCAAGGATAGCTAGGAAACTGTGTGGATTAATGTCTACATTTTCCTTCTGTGTTTGCTCATGCACTTCTGAAGATCAGATAAAATCAAAGGATAAACTAATCTTTTTTTTTGACAAGGGCACATAAAGTGTATGAAAACAGGTAACTGGCTCATTAGCACTGGAATCATCTACTAAGTATTGATAAATAGTGGCAAGTTCTTTCTATCTATGGAAGAATGATGAAGAGAACCATTTATTGGTGTCTCTGCATCTGAGGTGCATCTATGGGTAAGCTCAGGTTAAAACAGGAACAATTTGACATACAAAAATATTCAAACAAACGCTGACATCATACTTTTGTATAGCAGCCATATTGTCTTCAGTTCATTAGGTTCTTGTTCAAGGGCAGTGGAATATCATATAAAGTAAGTAGGACTGACAGAACTACTGTGGACCAAACAACAGTACATCACTTTCTAATAAACTAGGAATATGCCTTCATTTTTCAGTTAATAGATGCAGGACTGTCAGAAGCTAAGATACCATACCAAGCAATGTGAGAGAAGCCTGATGAATTAAGGCATGGCAAATGATCAGACCTGGATCTTATATACCTACATGTTTTCAAAGACCAACAAAAAGGGATCTCATCAAAATCCATTGATAAATGTGTGTTTTCTGTTTCAAGAGCAGTTTGAAGCAAAGCCAGCTAGTTGCATAAGAAGGTGGATTGTTTGGAATGTCAATATTTTTAGAGCATGTCAGTGGAATGCTTTGTAAAAGATGTGAGCACACATGAAACAACACTATAACAGAGGCTGCCAGGAAATTACTCCACTTAGCCCAGTATTGACTTCAGCCCTGCAAAGAATGCCTGCAGCTTTCCAATGATTGAGAGAGAATTTTCCCAACCCTGTTCTGCACTGGGATACCTTTTGCATGGAAGACAGATGGAATGAAACCCAAGCTTTGGTGTTTGTGTATCACTCAGATACATATCTGTGTTGCAGATGATGTTGATATATCATAGTGAGAGCAAGTTGCTGATGAGAAAGCAAAATATCTTGGGCTCCCTCCTCACACTGTCATCACAGCTTCCCTGTCATAGAGGAAGGAAAAAGTCTCTGTTTTCTCTGAATAACCTGGAGGGAAACCAGAAAGGGTTTATATTATGATCTCAAATGACACTGGGAAATGGGAAACAAGGTATTGGGATCGGGGATTCTAGACAATGCTTAACCCACTGCAACGTCACAATACAATAATTTAAGATTCATGTCAGCATAAAAGCAGCAGCTAAACAACAGTGGGATCCAGCAACTGAGTTTCCACCACTTGGCTTACCTTCAAGCACAAGCTACTTGTTTTTCAGCTGCCACCAGTTGATTACATCAACCTTATGTATTATTAATAATAGAGGTCCAGGCCATGTGTCATTTTAAATAGAACCAAAGAGAAGTTGTTTATTGGTACAGGTGATGAAGGTACAATCAACGTTGTTAACTCTTAACAGAATATCCTACTTCATCCACTCTCGACTGTCAACTTTCTCTCTCTCCACTCCAAACCTCCCTTCTCAACTCTCCCTACTCCAATCTAATTTCCCCCTCCTCCTGCAAAGAATCTTATACCTCATAACTCCGCCTCTCCAGCACTCTCATTGGTCCATGCAGATAGCATATGAATATTCATGACCTGGGCGGATGCCACACTGAGCTTCAGTTGTAGATGTGCTCTGTAGTGGGATCGGTGACAGAGGTGGTGTGGGTACCTCCTTCCATTGCAAACCCATCGTCCTTACCCTCCTGTGTTTCCCTTTCTCCTTCTGATGCCCATTGTGCTTTATGTTCCTGTCCTCCTAAAGTGCCTTCCTGGAGTGATTCCTTTTCTGTAGAAGGAGAATAACTGCTAGTAATAATAAGCATGATGAGAAGCAAGCCGCTTCTCCATTTATTCATGACATCTTTTCCCTTCCTACTGTTCCTCCGTTGGATTAGTATTGTGTCCTTCTGGTTCTCCAGGACCTGAGCATTTCATTTTGGTTTTACACAAGGTGGGAGGAAGGGTGCCTGCTAAATAACCAATATGGTTGGCTGCATTTTTGCTCACCTACCTTCAACCAGAAAAACCTGAGCCCTTCCCTTTTCTTTCCTTGAAGATGTTTCCTGAGCAGGTAGATTGCAGGCCTGCAATACCCCTTTTAACAGTTGAGTCAGGGTGCAACTTCACAGTAAGGAAAATGTAATTTGATCTGCTTTGATTCATAGGTTATCAAATCAAGTTTCCCTGAGTGACATTGCTGTAGCTATCTGGATGACAATTTGTGGGAGTCATCAAGGGCAGAGGCAGAGAGATAACTTGGCCTGGAGCACCAACAGCACGTTGCCTTAAGGTGCTAACAAGGTGCTAATCAATAATTTCTACTTTCTCTTTTTAATTTTTTAAAACGTAGCTTTCCTAAATTCCTTAACAATGCTGTGTTCCGGTGCAAACCTGAAACTTTTTTTTTCTTCTTAAAGAAACTCTTTGAAAACTGGGGCACTATAATTTCTACTTCTCTTTTTAATTTTTTAAAACGTAGTTTTCCTAAGTTCCTTAACAATACTGTGTTCTGGTGCAAACCTGAAACTTTTTTTTTCTTTTTAAAGAAACTCTTTGAAAACTGGGGCACTTGGTTGGTGGGAACTGACATATTCATGAATGTCCCTTTGGATCAGATCAGGCAATCACACTGGGCAGAATTTGGACAAAAGCTATGGCAAACTGACTGGAACAAATTTTAACCACCCCTGCTGGCGGAACAAAAAAACTATTCTCCACTCAAAAGAGACGAATTTGCAATGGGCTTCCCTGCATTGAGCTTTACATCATGTAGTCACTGGGTTTTAATTCAAATTCATCAGTGCCCAGTCTGATGTAATATGAGGAGTAAATGGCCTATGTAGTTGCCCTGTGTTCTGTTGCTGTCATGGGGGTAGGAAGATAATGTTACATTTGCCACCATGGCAATGTGGAGCGATGTCACAATGCTGGCAATGGTGCCCTCTGTCAATGGAATACCACTTTCAGGCCAATCTGGGTCAGCCATTAGATGGTGAATGTGAGCCCCTATAACCAACCAACTTTTAGAAAAGTCACCATGCAAGCCAGACAGGGAAATTAGTGCTGCCATAGTGTAAAGGCAGAGAAGACACAAGAAATGTTAGTGTGCTGTGTAGAACAAAATTCCAGGCACCTCATGGTGTATATTAGAGGTTGGGGGACAATGGGGGAGGAGAGAAACAGCCCACCACCACCAAAAGCAGGAAAGACAAGGACCTAATAATTATCCCTAAACTTGATGACAAAAAAAGTTATACCAAATGAAAACAGGGGACAGGCAAATGTCTGGATTTCCTTATTTTAAATAGAAAGCAATTGTGCATGAATTCCATGTCAAGCAATAAGGTCTAGCCTAGCAGTAAATGATAATCACCACCCTGAGCTGTTACAGTAGCATTGGGCAGGTCATTAGCTTTATAATTGTAATACTGCAGAAAGAGATCTGCTGGTTCCTCCGGGAAGCTTGTGTTTGCTTTTCTCTTAAACGTCCTGTTGAGAGCCTTCTAGCAGCTGAATTGGGCAGCCTCTCGACTAGACCTTTAAAAGAAAAGCAAGCAAACGCTTCACAGAGGAAACTTTTCATTGGCCTTTTATTTTTTTAAAAGTGATGCAGTAAATATTCACTCCCATTATACATATTTAATTTTTTCCACACTTCCTTATTTTTCCATTGAGTCAAGGAAGTGGTTAATTTGCCAATATCCAGAAATGGCTGTCTGGTTAAGCCATAATATTGGCAAATTAGAGGAAGTCTCAGTTTTAGTCCCTTTCCAGTGGTGACATGCACTGGAAACAGACCAAAACACAGTGATCCTAGCGGCATCAAAAAAAGTAGAAATACCTGACGGGGTCTCAGAAATGTGCAGATAGCACTACTCTGTGGATGGCCTTTCTTGCTCCAGCAAAGGCATTGTCTCGCCACCTGTCTTTAGGAGCAAACCAGCCCGTCCCAGCAGTGAAACAAACAGTGGGCTAAACATCTATGTAGCGAGTCTCTCAAACCTAAGCAAATTGTGTCAAGAACACACTTCTGCTTACCCAAGAGCACCTGGGCACTTCCAGAAAAAAAATATATATCAGGAATTGTCAGAAATATATCCCATTGAACCATCTTCAAACAAGAAAAGAACCATGACAGCTATCCTAAAAACAAAAACAACAATTAAGAAGTGGTTGTGAAACTTTTTTTTGCCTTCACTTAGGTAGATAATAAAACATAAGAGAGGACAGAGGACATTTTTGATCAATATCTTGAGGACCGCTTGCTGCATGGCTTATTTTCACTGAAGGTGTGTGCATGGGGTGGAAAAAATGGGGAATACTGACACTGAGTTTTAGAACATTTGACCCCTAAGCACACAATATGGTGGTGGCAACTTTAGTTCATCTCTCTCCTAGATGGCAGTGTTGTTTGGCTCAGCCCTCCTCCCTCATCTAGGTCTCCAAACTGAACTAATGAATCATAAAGGTAGCTTCAGTCCACTTCTGAATTCTTTCCCGCCCTTCGCAACCCTTCAGAAGGTCTTTCGAATGATGTCATGTTTAGCTTCAGTTGAGTTCTGTCTTCATGTGATGGTTCATATAGAGATTATAGCAGCATTATAACAGGGTTGCTTAATACTTTTTTCCCCCTCTGGTGTGCAAAGCACTGTTATGAGGGAGACAGAACTGACTGGACCTACCATTCGGGTAAATATAGCATCCACCTCAGGCAGCAGATCTGGGGCATAATGAAAGAGCAGTGAGTTGTTAATTATTTAATTGTTTATTTTATTTATTTATTTATATTGCCAAGGATGGGGAGAAGCATCAATATGATTTTGCTTCTTCCTGTGCCAGATAGATTGCTTGGCTTTAGGTAAAATGGCTCTTGGATAAGAGGGACATGCTGCTCTGTCTCAGGCAACAAAAATCCTGGGATAGCCTTGACCAAACAGAGACATTTGGACACAGGAATATAAAATACTGCTTTATAATAGAACCATCTAGCTCTTTATTAACTACCAAAACAGGTGGTGACACTCTAAGGTCTTAGCCAGAGGGCTTTTCTATAACCAGCTACCTGACCCTTGAAACTTCTACATGCAAATCAGGTACTTCTTTGCAAAATAAAATATACTGCAAAATAGCATTAGTCTAAACTGAGATGAGTAAATTACAAGAGAAAGATGACAAACACACAAAGGTGCACATGAACTATTTTTAAAGAGAAAAGAAACACGGTTATTCTATTTGCTATGCAATTATCTTTTACCAATTGCTTCTTCAAGGTAATTTCATGAGGTGCTTCATGTTTAGTTTTCCAATTATCATACCCATACCAGTGTGCCCACACACACTGTATTCTAAACTGAGGTAAGCTGGGGGTTACTATTTTAAAGGGCAGTACTGAGAAAGGGTTCATTAGATCAGTGAGGGGTCCATGTTTTCATGTTTATCTGTAATGGTATACTCACTGATGTTTATGCACTTATTCCTGAGGTAACTGGAGACAGGAAGATCAGCACAAGATGTGTCAGAAAGCCTTGAATGTGAGCAGGAGGCACGTACTGCTGCCTCAGAAAGGTACACTCTAGGCTTATTTGGTATGATGGTGCAGAGGCTATGAAATTGGAATTGTCAGGTATCATGGCCCCAGCTGAAATCTCAAGGGAGTGCTATGTTTCACCAGGTCCCCAGCATAAAGCCAAATCTCAAGGGCAGTGGTACTAAAGGAGGAAAAATGGTAAGTTGCTGATCTGGTTATCCTGCGTACATTAATTTCAAAGAACTATCAGTCACAAATATTGGCAAGGGAGTCCAACACTGTGCTCAGGACTATGGGCCTACAGGTGCCAACAGTAGTGGAGAGAGATAGTCAGCACTACCTGGGTGTTATTTCTTTGTCTTGTCTGTTTTCTGATGACTCTCAAGGATTGCCTCATTTACTTCCTCTTTAGGCTCCAGTCATTGTTTTTCTTGGCACGTAGCTAGTGGTAGAATGCCAAACTTGTCTTCCTTGCCTTAGGCCATGTTCACACTAGAGAAATGCCCCCCCCTTCTTTCTTGCGTCTTCTGCTTCCTGCATTGTGGTCATGTGGCTTATATCCTGTGATAGGGGTTCATGCATTTTTTTTACCATTCTGCTTTTTTGGGCATGAATTAGATGCCGTAGGTTCATCTACACCCCTCGAGTGGGACATATCCCCTTCCTTTTCTTGTGCCTTTCTCTGCCCCTTCCCTTCTTAAATTGTGTGTGTGTGGGTACATCACTGTGTTGGCAAAATGCCCTTGCTACCACGTAGGTATCTGGGTTATTTCTTCTTATTTTCATGCTCTGTAAACGTCTATGAAGGAGAACCCACAGTGTACTGCAGTGGCAGTCAAAAAACAGTAGGGGGATTGATGCTCTGTATTTGATAGAAATATACCAACATGCCAACATTCCAGTCTAAAAATTAATTTTAAAAAAATATTAAGGTGGTTGAACAACCATGAGTGAGGGAGGTGGGACCACATGCCAGATACATAGGAAATGAATCCGTTTTGGAGTACATACTCAATGGGATGTTGGTTGTACCGTGTGATGAAACATGGAACAAATATAGTAATAGTCTCCAAGCAGGTGGATTGGATGTGGAGGTAGCACAGAGCATGAATAAAAGAATCAATAATGGCCCTGCGTCATCTGAACACACACACACAAAAGGGTTGAAATTAATGAGGAGTGACTTGGAAATATTTTGCTGGTGTGACCATAGCCTTAGCTGGAATTCCTATAGCAAAGTTTATTTTCTTTTTACTTTAAACTAGAGAAGGGTACAGACCACTGGTTTGGCATTTCAGTGTGATTCGTTTCCTGGGTGAACAGCTGATCTGCGGTTTGGTGCCCCGCCCCCTCCAACAGATGCCCGTTCAGCAGCAGTGCCCTGCTCTGCCTCTTCTGGGCATTGCTGCTGAATGGGCATTCCTTGGAGGGTGTGGGGCACTGAACGGTCAGCTGTTTGGCCAGGAAACCAATCATGCAGAATTGCTGAACCAGCCATTCATACCCATCTTTTCTCTAAACCAGGGCAAGCAGCTTTGGCAAATCTAGAGGGTAATTTTCTTTCTCCTGGGATCCTCTGATTTCCACAAAGATTGCCAAAATTGCCAAAATGAATCTGGAAGTGGCTAGATATCCGCTTTCTGTTTTGGAAATGGATCTTTAGAAGGGTTAAATGGTTCAGCAGGGCCCTGTAGCCTATTTAAAAGACAAATGCTTACTCCTGGGAGTTTTCTCAATTGGCAGCTCATACTTTTTGCTGGAAAGAGAGGGATCTATAGAAGGTCTTGGGCTGCAAAAGCCAGGGTAAGGTGTGTGTGGGGATTGCATGCTACGCAGAGCTACACTATGTTCAGTCCTATTCTACACACTGTGTTGCTTATAAGCAACACTCTTCCATTGTATCCAACAACAATGGCCTTTCATGCGCTTGGGTTCTGTGACACAAAGGATTTATAAAACAAGTTAATTGTTTTATAAACTAAAACATTCATGTTATTGAAATGGACTTAGCAAAGAATGTAAGCAAAGTGCATAAAATATATAAGCCTGTCAACTTGCAGTCATCCTATATAATTAGAATTGCCTAAAAAAGTGAGAACTATGTGGATGATTGTACAAGAGATGCATTACCATAGCCAGTGAAGGTGGTATTAAAATGCAGCAGACAATATGGACTTGTCCCTTAGGGCTTTTTCAGGTGGACGAAAGCACTACAACAAGTGAGCACAGATAGGCATGGTCCACTCCAAAGGGGACTGGGTCCTACTAATATTGACATCTAAATTGCCCTGCAAAAGCCAGGAACTTGAAAATCACTTCTTTTGGATTCCAGGAAACAGTCCTTAAAAATCCCTGCCTGGCTGTAGTTTTTTCACTGTCCCCCCTTTTTTTCTTTTCTAAAGCCAACTGAATGGATAATTAAAGGAGATTGGCATAAGAAATATTTTGATATTTTTATTTTGCCTTATTTATAGGCCGCCGTTCTCCTGATAAGAGGATTCAGAAGTGAACTCTGCATTGGAAGCTCTGTAATGCTAAGCTCCGCTCCCACAACAAATCTTGGGGTTCCAAAGGAGTCAAATTTCTCAGGGAGATTGAAAAAAAAAACCTGGGAGGCAGCAGAAAAGGCACAGCTATGATTGAATTCCTGCTGGTGTTCTGCAGTCAATGGAAAAAACATCTGAAAGGAACTGTGCTATGGCCGATACTTGTTCCTCTGTACCGTCTACCCTCAGTTTGAAGTCAGACAACCATGCATATAGCTGAGTATTGAAGCCTTTGCTGCCTTGATACAAGGTTCCAAGTTTAATCCCCTGCATTTCCAGCACTGAGAAAGATGGGCCAGAGAGCACAGCTGCTTAATGGGACCAACTCTCAGTTCAGGACATCACTCACAGTCTGTGCTATTATTTTCTTTATCGATACCTGCTCAGAAAGGGATTTAATGGGCTAAAATTCCCAATAAACAATTCAGTAAATATTTTCATATCTGGTCACAATCTTGTGGATAGAGACCCCACTTTTATCAAGGTAGATCACTCTCTCCCCCCCTCTCAATTCCTTGGCTATTGTTAGTGGGAGCTTTGTATTCTAGAGCACAAACTGGGTAATTTACCATATCCTGTTCTGCACCATTTCTCCATAGACAAAAAAGAACTAAAAGGATTATTTTGACAGCAGAGGGCATTTTTAAAGCTCTTTGCTACCTTGCATGTTCTAAAATTTCACCTGCAATGCTTGGCTAATCCATGTTTGTTTCTAGGTGTAAGCAGCAGCACTGCATGTAATGGTCTGCAATGAATATTCATGGCAAATCATCTGCATACATTGCTCATGCATCCTCATTTAAGCTACTTCACGCTTCTTAAAGGAAGTGGAGCAAAACAGCCTCTGGCAGACTTTGCCCTCATGGCACACATTATTAAATTCTGAGTGAAAGTTGACAGCATGGAGCATAAATTTAGCATGGTAAATAAAAGCAAGCAAGGAAGAAAAAGCTTTTCTGGACTCATCACAAAAAGAGAGAGGTGTTTATTTGTATACTTTCCAAGCTAATAAATTTATGTTAAGATTAATTTTTTTCACTGTTGTTTTAATAATTAAAAAAATAAAAATACATACAAATGAAAGCATAAGGAACAGTTTGTAAGCGTGGGACGGTCAGGTTTGCATGGAACTCTGAACTATTAGTGACCATCAAGGGATTGAGCCTAGCATCTACCCCACACTCAAACATTCATCTCCCCACATCCCTGCTGTGGCTACACCAAGCCAATTTGCTTAACTGTGGCTTAATCACAATTCACCAAACTCATTCAAACACAGACAAACTATAATTAACATGAACCATGTTTTTTGGGAACAGAGCTGCCTTGTCCTTGTTATAGTTAACATTAACTACAGCTTAAGGTGCATATTACATGTTAAATTGCAGTTAAAGGAAAAGAGAAACAGACGTTTCTGTACCCCTTATGGCTGCACCTTATAAACTAAGGCCTTGGTCACATGAGGGAAATGTTATGTAATTATCCACCAGTTATGTCGATATTTTTTTCCTGGTCACATGATGCAGAGTCAAGACCAAGACATTTTCCCGGCTAGCAGTGTAACATCCGAACATTTCCCCATGGCGTGGAGGGTTGTGTTATTTTGTACATTAGCTGAATTCCTTACTGGGATTGCCTGTGTGCACGACCTGCCCCCGCTTCTTTACAGAATCAAATCCAGGAAGGTGTCCGCCATTACTGAAGCAATCACATTATCATGCCTGATACATCAATATGTTGGTAAACGTATGTCATCGGGGGGGGGGGGCTGCCATCATTACATTACTGGTGAGTAATCGTTTTTTCTTTCCTGTGGGAAGATACATTGAAATGCTGGTAGGGCAATATCATCATGTGTGTGTGTGTGTGTGTGTGTGTGAGAGAGAGAGAGAGATCGCCAGTACTGTACAATGGATATTTGAAGTCCCTCATGTGCAATGCATTTCTGCAGGAGCAGCCAGTACAACAGAGAGACACTTTCCTAAACAGAACCACTTTCCTGATCAATGTTCCCTCTAATTTCCACCCCCCCCCTTTGTGCGAGTCTGCCCTGCCCCTCATGGGGTTCCATTGTGACCAGAATGAAAGGGGCTGGAAACAATAGCTGTGGGTGCACAGGAGAGGAGCAAAGATGTGTGGAGAGAAGTGAAGTCAAGCGCTCTTGCACAGCCATCCATCTTAGAGGGAGACTTGTTTCTGATATCCTGATGTATCAATAAATATTATTTCAAAGAGGCGCACTGGCACAGGCATGATACTTGGCAGCAACAAAAATAATCCAAAGATATGGAAAAAAATCCCCTTCCCAAAATGAAGGGGGGGAGGCAAAAAGAGAGAAAGAATCTAACATAGAAGCACACAGGCAGGCAGCACAGTCCAAGATGGAGGTTACCAGGAGCTCACACAACCACCAGGAACAACTGAAGCAAAGAAAGAACACTCCTTGCTGGGTTCCAACCAATCTTTTATAGATTCTTTATAGATTCCCAGTTTCTGTTCCTCCTCCCTTCTAGATATTTTAGTTGGCATCTGACAACAGACCTAACTATTGGATGAGAAGTTTCCTAGGTAATTGGACAGACAAAGAGTGAAAGAAAAGTTAAATGAAAGAGGGAAACACAAAGCACACAAAACTTTTATGTACTCCTCTTTTGTCAGTATGGATCATTCATGTTTTAGAGGCTCTCTTTTGGGAATCAGTGAAAGAACATGAAAATGCTTGGGGTGTGCATGTCTCTTTTGTGATGTTTCCTTTCTGTTAAAATATGAAAGGCCCATCCTTATTTAGTATTACAGCCGAACCAGATCTGTGTGTGAATAGATGATAATGCTTATAAAGACTGTAATTAACTGTCAGCTTTTAGATGTTCATAGAATACTCTTTCCTAGTTGGTGAGATGTAACACTCTTGTTTCTATTAATTTATTTGTCTGCTGTAAAATGAAAGTACAGTTTAAAATCAAACAGCAAGCATCTAACTGGAGATTTGTATTTACACTTTTCTGCTTACATATTCTGGTGAATAAAGATACTCATGTGGCAGAGTTGTTCCCTTATGACTCCATCTGTTTTCAAGAAAAGGACAGGCTTCCATTTTATGTTCTGCAATTCGCATGTCTGACAAAGTTAGGGTTGCCACCAGCTGGCTGGTGTTTTTAATCAATTGCCTGTCTGAAGTTTCCTGTTCTTCCTGATTAGCCATTCTGTGTTGCCAACAGATCTATTTTCATCCAAGCTTTTGTGGATTACAATCTACTTCCTGAGACACATGAACATTTAGGGCACAGATGTATATGCACAGTACACATGGTTGTGAAGAAGGGGGACCGAGTGAAAAGCGGTGCAGACTTCAGTAAGGAACTGCATTAGGAACACAGTTAATGACTTTTCAGACAGTTGATTACACAAACATCATGGCAGAAGTGGAGTAATTAGCTAGTGCAAATTGTCATATAGCACACAATGGTTACACAGTTTTCTCTGGAATGTCAGTATATAAACCTTTGGCCTAAATATTGTACTCCACATTTCTGAGGAAGAGGACTGGAATCTACAAAATGTCATGCTGAAATACTTAGTCAGTCTTAAAGGCATCACAGTATTTCTGTTTTTGGCTTTTTTTGTTTGTTCTACGGGCTAAAACGGACTAGCATCCCTTCCTCTTTGAAAACTGGTGCAGTATTCTGAACTGCAGCCTTTAAGCTGTTGAGGTTTGAGACACTGTGATAAGGCTCTAAAGCAGCCCGTCTTGACTTTCTGCCCTCCTGATGTATAGAACACACAGGTCTTCATCATTCCTAGACAGTGTAGATGAGGGAAACTGCAGTTCTACAGCCAAACTATATGCTACAGATTAGTCTGTCATTAGAAGCTGAAATTTGTTAGTGTTCCAGAGACATGATTCAGGCAGATCTTCATGACTGAGCAGTCATATGTGGAAATAAAGCTTGTGTGTAGGTCCAGGAGATGAATCACAAACTAGAGCACACTATTTTACAAATTACAAGAGGTATAAAAAGCACTAGCTGTGACAATTCCACATCTTTCTACAAGAATTCCCTTTCCTAGTAATGAGTTATCTGTTACGCATCATTTCGCCACTATGCATACACATAGTTTGGGAAGGCTGAACCAAAACAAGGGTTCCCCCTCCCTTGTGAGTGGAATATGAATAGAAAGTGATGTGCATGAATGTCCATGTGAATGTCACAGGTGTTGCTTTAAGTCGTTCATCACTTCATACAGGGTCCTCTGCTCAATCCACATGACCAAAAAATGAAACACTGAGTGCTCCAGCCTAACACAGGGAGTAGAAGTTGGTTATTTGTATTTATATCCCTGGGTATACAAATATGAATATCACCACTATAGGTGTGTGGGACGTCCAGTTGCTCCCCCTCCCCGAACCGGCAGGTACAATTACTGGTTGATGCACCAATCACAGCAGTAGCCTGGCTGGGGAGACTCATCATCCTGCCTTGTCACCAGAGTGGTCGGCTCCATGGGGTGGTGGGGAAGCACCGAGTGGGTTACTTTCATGATTGGCACAACAGGGATAGCAACCAGGAATTGGACCTGCTGGTTTGGGGGAGAGGGACGGGACATCCCAGGCACCTGTGGTGTTGATATTCATATTTGTATCCCCATGTCCAATAGGGATGAATTTGTTCTCTTTCTTTACTCAAAAACAAGTACTGTATATGTGCATGTGTATTTGAATCAGCACACTAGTGGCAGGGTGAGGAGAGGAAGGGCAGTTCTTTCCTCTCCACCAGTGGTTCTCAGCCTTGGGAAACCCAGGTGATCTTGGACTGCAACTCACAGAAACCCCAGCCAACACAGCTAGTGATGAAGGCTTCTGGGAGTTGCAGTCCAAGAACACCTGGATTACCCAAAGCCTGGGAATCACTGCTCTACACCATTTTTGTTTTGTTTTGTTTAAATTACTTCACTGAAACTGCTATAAGAGGCAGTCCGCACTGGCATATAGATACATATATGGATCACTGTTGGCATGGTTTGGTTTGAAACAAATAATGGTGTCCATGCACGTTTCCAGTTAGATCAATCCATCCTGCCTCTTTAAGAGCTGGCAGGCATCTTTCTGGCACAGCAGTAGGGCATGTATTTTGGTATGATTCAGCACAATTGTAATTATTCTGTTCTGTATTTTGTACAAATGGTTAGCCCACACCCAAATGGAACTGTGGACAGTGTTAACTGAGAGACAACCCTCTGATATATTAGGTGTGTTTCCACTTAAATCAATCCATCCTGCCTCTTTAAGAGCTGGCAGGCATCTTTCTGGCACAGCAGTAGGGCATGTATTTTGGTATGATTCAGCACAATTGTAATTATTCTGTTCTGTATTTTGTACAAATGGTTAGCCCACACCCAAATGGAACTGTGGACAGTGTTAACTGAGAGACAACCCTCTGATATATTAGGTGGGTTGTGATATTAAAAGGGAGGGTGGAACCCCCCCCCCTTCTGATTTTC